CTACAGAGGCTCCTACACCCTGGGCAGGGACAGCCAGACGGACGCCAAGTTCCGCAGGGTGGCCCGGATCATGGTGTGCGGGAAGACCTCGCTGGCCAAGGAGGTCTTTGGGGACACCTTGAACGAGAGCAGGGACCCGGACAGGCCCCCGGAGAGGTACACCTCCAGGTACTACCTCAAATTCACCTTCCTGGAGCAGGCCTTTGACAAACTGGCCGATGCCGGCTTCCACATGGTGGCCTGCAACTCCACGGGCACGTGTGCCTTCGCCCACGACCAGACGGACGACAGGATCTGGACCTCTTACACCGAATATGTTTTCTATCGTGAGTGACACAACCAACCAACCCTCCACAAACCAAACACCAACCGTCCCTCTTTCCTCTCCCGTGCTGGCCGTTGCCTAGAAGGTAGACATCCATCCCCGAATCCCGGCGTTCCCCCTTTGCCTCCTTTTGAGTTGGTTTTTGGGTTTTTTTCCCCCCCTCCTCCTTCCTCTACGTTGAACCTGCCCAGCTCTTCCTTGTAGCAGCCGCTGAGCACCAACCTTCTTCCCTCTCTCCGACTTCTGCAGTGCTCCCAACCCTCCCTGGATGTGTGGACTTGGACACTGTCGCGTGGTTTGGGTGGGAGGGGGGGACACGGCGGACTGTGCTTTGTCTGGAATTCCTGCGGCTGGATGAGCTTGTGTTGGACGCTGAACTTGGCTCCCTGTCCATCTGCAGCTGCTCGGGACTGTGCTGCACTCACTGGGTTTGACCTGCCAAGGGCCGTGGGTGAGGAAGAGTTGGGTTAAGGACACGGAGAAAGGTGGGAAGCAGAGCCAGGGAGGGGAGGGGGGGGTTGGGAAGATGAAGCCTGGCAGGATGTATTGCCATGAGCCCCTGTAAGCAGCTTAGCCTTTAGACTGGCAGCGCTTGGGGAGGGTAAAACCTCACCCCGTGTTTGCAGCTCTGAGCTGAAGCCTCGCTGCTGCTCTGGGATGCCTTTGGGGGGGGTGTTTGGGGGGGCTATTTTGGGGGGTGGGAGGGTGTGGATGGGCAGATGCTCTGCTCATGTACATGTGGAGGGAGGTGGGGGGGAGTGGGGGAGGCTTTACGTGCTGTAGGGTGTAAAATGCTCACACATCTCTCCAAAACTTGGAGGCTTGTCAGGAAAAAAAGCCCCTTCGTGTTTCCATTCCATAGCAATGGGATCAGAGGGACGAGGTTGGGATGCTCCAGCCACGGCCACAACTTCACCCAGTGAAGGGAATCCTTGCTGTTTGGGCAAACTCTCGGGAAGGTCTCTCCAATCCCAGCTCTCCAGGGGCTGCCGCTGCTTTCCCACGCCTGGGAATTGTGTAATAAAGGAACCAAACCCACTGGGCTGTGTCTGTGCAGAGGGGCAGAGCTGGGGGTGCTGCCTGGGGGCACCAGGAGGTGTGCCCTGGCACAGGGGCAGGGACAGATGTGCTTTAGTGTGTGGGCTCAAATCAAGAGGAGAAGGAAGGAAGACAAACTCAGCAGAGCCCTCTTTGGCTCCCAGCCCTGCTGGGCCCCATGGCAGTGCAGCACATCCCTGCAGAGATGCCAGGGCAGGTGGGCAGGGCCAGAACTTCCCACCTGTGTGCACCCAGCCCTGGGTGATGGTCGCCCCCATCACCCCAGCAGAACCTTGCGTGCTCTGAACAAGGGCTTGGCCTGCACCTCTGGGTGCCAACACCTGCAGGACCAGATGCAGGTGACCCTGACATGCCAGCTGCTGCCTGCTGCTGCCCCCTGGTCCTCTGCCATCCATCCATGGCACCCTCCATCCACCCTTGCTCCTCCATCATCCTCCCCTGCTCCCCCACCATCCATCCAAATCACACCCCTGCTCCTTCACCATCCATCTCCCTTCTCATCCACCATCCATCCCTGCTCCTCCATCCTCCTCCCAAGGCACTCACCATCCATCCCTGCTCCTCCATCCTCCTCCCAAGGCACTCACCATCCATCCCTGCTTCTCCACCATCCATCCAAATCACTCACCATCCATCCCTGCTCCTCCATCCTCCTTCCAAGGCACTCACCATCCATCCCTGCTTCTCCACCATCCATCCAAATCACTCACCATCCACCCCTGCTCCTCCACCATCCACCCCTGCTCCTCCACCATCCACCCCTGCTCCTCCATCATCTATCCCTGCTCCTCCATCCTCCTCCCAAGGCACCCACCATCCATCCAAATCACTCACCATCCATCCCTGCTCCTCCATCCTTCTCCCAAGGCACTCACCATCCATCCCTGCTTCTCCACCATCCATCCAAATCACTCACCATCCACCCCTGCTCCTCCATCATCTATCCCTGCTCCTCCACCATCCACCTCTGCTCCTCCACCATCCACCTCTGCTCCTCCACCATCTATCCCTGCTCCTCCATCCTCCTCCCAAGGCACCCACCATCCATCCAAATCACTCACCATCCATCCCTGCTCCTCCATCATCCTCCTCAGGCTCTCACCATCCATCCCTGCTTCTCCACCATCTGCCGAAATCACCCTCCATCCATCCCTGCTCCCCCTCCATCCATCCCTGCTCCCCCTCCATCCATCCCTGCTCCCCCTCCATCCATCCCTGCTCCCCCTCCATCCATCCCTGCTCCCCCTCCATCCATCCCTGCTCCCCCTCCATCCATCCCCGCTCCTCCAGCTGCTGCTGGAGCATTCCCTGTGGATCTCCTGGTGCAGGGAGCTGCAGGATCTCCTCACTGGGGCTGGCCAGCAGCCAAAGGGTCATTTCTCTTTGGGGGTTCATGTGGGAGGAAGGTTTGCAGCTGCTTTCTGAGGAGGTGGCAGGGTTTTGGCACACGGGGGGGAGCAGAAGTTTTACAGCCAGGCCCTTCTCCCCTGAAGAAGAGGAAGGCAAAAATGGTATTTTTACCCCGTCCTGTTCCTCATTGCAACAACATTTTGAAGAGGAAATGGCAACCAGCTTTAAAAAAGGCAAAAAAAAAAAAGGAACTCGAGCTCTTTGTGCACTGAATTAAGATTTTTTAAGTAAAAGGAGAGGGGACCTGCAGCCCAGGTTTGCTTCTATTTTTTTTTTGCTTTTTAAACTCAAGATTTGTCTGATCATTATTAAGCAGGACCGACTGGGAAAAGAAATTGCTGCCTTGTGAGAAATGTGGGTGTTTTGATGTTGGTTTTTTTTTCCCCTCTGGAACTGGGCTGAAAAAAATTGATCTCCCGGGAGGAAGGATTTTTTTTTCCTGAGGGAGAAACCATAATGGCAGAGTCAACATTCGGGGGGTTTGATCTGGCAGGTTATGTGAGCTGGGCTGTTAAACCCAATACCCCCAGGAAACACGATCAGAGGCTACTTCGGCATCATTTCAGAGCCTGATGGTTTTCCTGCAAGCTGAGACTTCGTGCAAAAATCCTTTTGTTGAGGTCTAGCTCAGCAAAAATCCAACCGGTTTGGGGTTGTGTCCCTTCTTTGCACAGTCATGGGAAGTGTCCTGCTGCTGCTGCCCCTGGTTGGCAGGAGAACGTGGTTAGTTTGGCCCTGAGGAGAGACCATTTGCAGGGAAATGGTGGCATGAAAAAGCATCTCTTGGAGGTCTTCAGCCTCTGAGCCATCACAGCAAGTCACTGAGCTGGGCAAAAAAAACAAGGAGGGGGTGTCTGAAGGGAGTTCTCTCAGTCTCCAGGACAGTGGAAAAGGCATTTCCCTGGTGTTGCCTGTTTTGCTGCCTTTTCCTGGGAATGTTCCTGTATTTGGAGATGTTTCCAGGACTGGAGCTGCTGTTGGTCTGTCTCTGGGTTGCTCTGAACTTGTTCTGTCCTCTTGTGCTCTCCCCTCAGCACCTCCCACCACCCAGGATGTCCATTTTACTCCAGGGGTAAAACCAAGCCTTGTTCATCTCCCTTCCCTCCTGTTGGACTGGGAGGTGCTTTTTTTAATTCCCAAGAGGTGACATAACCCTGCTCTTCAGGCTCTGCCTCTGCACAGCTGGGTTAAACTGATGCTTCTGTCACCAAGAACTGGGGAATAAACTCCCAAAGCACTTTGTTGGCTTAAAAAGTCCATGTTACTTTATCCAGTACTGAGGTACCTGGAGATCCCTCCACAAAGCATCTACTTCAGTCATCAACACTTTTAACTATTTATACATTTTAGGAAGCAAAGGAATTAGTGTTTATTTGCTGCAAATTATAGTTCTCTTATTAATTAGTATTTTAACTTCTATTGGTTAATGGTTCTATTGCTCCTCATGCTCAGTTTCTCTCTCCTTTTGGAGGTTTCTTGGGTCAGTGGGGTCACAGATCCCCCTTCCAGAGTCACCTTTTCCCCACCTGGAGCTGCTCTCAGCACAGTTACTGCCTCCTTCCCTCGGGAGTCCTGCCAAAACTCCTGGTGGCCCATAAATTCTGCCATTGCCAGCGGCACATCCCTCTTCCCAAGCCTCTTCCCCCGAGTCTGAGTGCTCTGCAGCACGTCAAGCCCAACATTTTCATCTGTTTTTCTAACAGATGGACATTCCCCAGAGTTTGCCCATTGATGTTCTCTCTTTCACACATTAAATCTCCCAACCTTCTCCCCTGGGGCTGCACAGGCTCTTTTTTTAAACACATACATCTTGTTTGGGGACACCCCAAGCCCTGGAGCAGAGCACCAGATGCTGCTGGAGGTGCTGGTGGACGGGGCTTGGAGCAATCTGGGCTAGTGGGAGGTGTCCCTGCCCATGGCAGGGGGTGGAATGGGATGAACTTTAAGGCCCCTTCCAACCCAAGCCAGTCTGGGATGCCCTGGTTCCATGCCCTGGTATTCCTGATCTTTGGATGGGACATGGCCTTGTTGTGGTCACCTGTCATCGCCCTTCGGAGGATCCCTGTGGGAGGTACAGCCAGAGATCCTCCCCAAAACAGCTGCAGCTCCAGGGCTTTGGGGAGGATCCCTGTGGGAGGTACAGCCAGAGATCCTCCCCAAAACAGCTGCAGCTCCAGGGCTTTGGGGAGGATCCAGGTGGCCCTGGATTGGCTTTGCTGTGACGTGGCAGTGGAACCCCTGGCCTGGCACCTCCCAGGAGGGGCACATGGGCAGGGGGGTGCAGCCCATACCTGAGGGAGAGGTGGCCTGCACGTGCAGGGAGGGATTAGTCCCGTTATCTGCAGAAACCCGAGGCCGGGAGGGATCCCTGGGATTATTTTAATCTGACCTGCACCGAGCCCTCCTCAGCTTTTCTCATCCTGCGGTTAACAGAGCCCTGGTCCCTTCCCACGTGCCAGACCACCCACCTCCTTGGTCCTAAGGATGGGATTTGGGATAGTTTTAGGATGATTTTTAAGATAACCCCCCAAGGGGGTCTCCTGGCAGCAGGTCCCATGGTGGGGACAGTGTCCTTTGAGCTCCCCAGGCACCAAGGAATGTTTTTATGAAGAGCTTCCAAAGTGTGTTTTTCCTCAGAGGGATAACATAACCCGCCCTTTCATTTAGGGATGCCCAGAAGATCAGCCATCCCAGAATAAAATCCCCGGTGGGAATGAGGCGGAGCAGGAGCTCGGGGTGGGTCTGCCTTCCCACAAATTGCTGGTTGCTCGTCCTGCACAAAACCTGCAGGAACTGAGCTTAAGGAGAAGCCAGATCCCATCTGGCTCCATCAGACACTTCTGCCACCCCAAGAGAACATCTGGAAACACTTGCTCTGTCTTCACCCCCTGTCTTCACCCCCTGTTTAGTCCTGCCCTGCCCCAAAGCTGAGCTCTCCCCATCCTGCCCACAGCAGTAAGGATGGAGCACATCAATCCTGAGGGACTGGGAAGAGGACAAGCAGGGTCCTGTGGGGACCAGGAGATTGGAGAGGTTAGAGGGGAGGCACAAAACCCCCGTTCCCAGCCCAGAAATCCCATCCTGTCATGGGAGACCAGGTCAGCACATCCCAAAATCCCAGCGACTTGATGGAGCGTTGAAATAGCAAAGGATTTAGAGATCAAGAAACACAGAAAGGGTGGAAGCAACAGTA